AGAGAGAGAGAGAGAGAGAGAGAGAGAGAGAGAGAGAGAGAGAGAGAGAGAGAGAGAGAGAGAGAGAGAGAGAGAGAGAGAGAGAGAGAGAGAGAGAGAGAGAGAGAGAGAGAGAGAGAGAGATAGAAAGAGAGAGAGAGATAGAAAGAGAGAGATAGAAAGAGAGAGAGAGAGAGAGGGGAGAAAGAAATTGCTTCCTTTCTGTGGTGGGATATTTAAAACACCAATGATATTCACTGGCATGTCCCAAGCGACCCAAACAAGAAACAGCTCAACTTCGACCGCGCCCAAGGTCTAGGTGGGGTGAAAGGGGGGGGGGGTAATTTCTACCACTCATAGGGGATAGACGCCCCTGCATAACGGTAACCTTGGCATAGATTCTGAACTGTGGTCAGTTGGACTAACTGAAGTAAAGCTTTCCTTAGAAAACATCTCTTTAATTTAGTTCGAGGTCGTCTCTTAAGTTAGAGGTAGCTATTGCTCTATGAGCCAGTTGTTGTTTTATGCACCAGTTGTTGTTCTATGAATCAGTTATTGTTCTATGTATCAGTTGTTGTTCCATGTACCAGTTATTGTTATATGTACCAGTTATTGTTCTATGTACCAGTTGATGTTCTACGTTCGAGTTCAATTCAGGAATCTGCCATAATTTGTTTCAGGGTTAAATGGGATAATACTGAAGTCAACTTCAATTTAAAGCCAATAATTTTCGCTTGGATGTTACCTGGCAGTTACCTGGATGACACCTGGAAGTTACCTAGATGTTACCTGGCAGTTACCTGGATGTTATCTGGATGTTACTTGGCAGTTACCTGGATGTTACCTGGATGTTATCTGGCAGTTACCTGGTGGTTTGGTTGTCATATACACTGTTTAATTATGTCCCATGATAACACCCTACAGCAGCCAAACTGTTGACATTGTTAATACATTTCAGTTTGTTTTTTTAAATTATTAATTATTTCTAGCTTAGTGGGAAGAATAGCTCAAAAGTCAGTTTAGCATATTGTCCTTTTACAAACAAATACGGTTACGACACTAACTCTGTGTTAGTTAATACATGTATAGTTGTATTTTATGAAATCATCGGGCTTGGTGGCCATTTTGAACCAATGTGGCATCAGATTTTTAACGTTTAATTTATGTCTGATGCTGGGTGGCCGAGGGGTCTAAGCCGAGACAATCTCAAGTTCGTGGTCTGGAGTTCAATCCCCCACTCCCCCAAAGGCCAGTCAAACAAAAACATAACCAGCACCTTGCGATGATGGCCCCAGTTAAAAATTGGATGGCAACTCAACTAAGAGAAGGAAAGTCTAAATTCAAAACCCGGAGATGGAGTCCCGTAGGCGGTTATCATTCGCACAATGAAACATTCCGACAACTCCTGCGAGTCACTGGTGCCAAGCTGTATCATCTACAAATGATGTTCTCTTGGGTTGTCCAGCGGCGTGGAGAGAGGCGATTTGCTGTGTAGGGAACCAGCTTATAATCCTAATAAGAATAATCCAAATTATTGTGGATTTCGTCCAGCAAAGTCTACAGCATCGTCACACTGTGACGCACGGATGACAAAAAAAAAATAACAACCAACAAACAAAAACACAATAATTCACAATGATTTACATTTGTTATACACGTGAATGATCTGCTTAAATACATGTGAATGATCTGCTTAAATACATGTGAATGATCTGCTTAAATACATGTGAATGATCTGCTTAAATACATGTGAATGATCTGCTTAAATACATGTGAATGATCTGCTTAAATACATGTGAATGATCTGCTTAAATACACGTGAATGATCTGCTTAAATATTTTCAAAAAGTCCCTTAAAACTCATCTGTTTAGGTCCGCCTATGACCTGTGATGCACCCTCCTTGCCCTGCCTCATTTTCTGTCTCGGGTCTATCCTGAAGTATAGGCCAAAACGTGCCAAAGTGTCCTCGTTTTATAGCCATTTTCATTGTTTCCATAGTATAGTAGTTACTATCCTAGTGTCTTATTTTTATTTTACTTAGTTTACATGTTTTTCATAATTGTAAAGCGCTTAGAGCTTTATGGTAAGCACTATATAAAAATGCCTAAATAAATAAATAAATATATAAATACATGTGAATGATCTGCTTAAATACATGTGAATGATCTGCTTAAAGCGTCGACTGACCATTTAGCAATGTCATTTCCATCATTCAAAGATTACAGATTATGACAAAAACACGTCTATAAAAACAGACGTTTCAAATACAGAACTTACAAACACGCCAAAGGTTGTGTAAACAGTTTATTTTAAAGAACCATAAACTGGAAAAAGTAAACCATAGGTACATGTAAAAACAAGAATTTCTCATTGAAAGTTATTCAAACCACCCTCAGAGTTGAATGTTCATCCAACCTTCATCAGAGTTGAGAGTACATCCAACGTCCATCAGAGTTGAAAGTTCATCCCACGACACCACCCCCACCACCACTGCCAGCTTTGAAAGGACAGACCGCGTCGTTCTTCTGCTCTGGGTGAATTTTTCTGATGTAGAGAGACTTGAGACCTAGGAATAATACACAAGGTTACCATTGATAGTTGGTGAAAAGAGACTTGAGACCTAGGAATAATACACAAGGTTACCATTGATAGTTGGTGAAAAGAGACTTGAGACCTAGGAATAATACACAAGGTTACCATTGATAGTTGGTGATATTTTTTGTTGGTCTTTATATTAGTTAATGAAATATATGCTTCTTTTTTTCTTTAAATTACGTCTTTAATTTGAAAAGACCCAGTTGAATGTCATATGAACAGACCCAGTTGAATGGCATATGAACAGACCCAGTTGAATTTCATATGAACATACCTGATTGAAGTCATATGAACAGACCCAGATGAATGTCATATGAACAGACCATGTTGAAATTCATATGAACAGACCTGATTGAATGTCATATGAACAGACCATGTTGAAATTCATATGAACAGACCTGATTGAATGTCATATGAACAGACCTGATTGAATGTCATATGAACAGACCCCGCTGAATGTCACATTGACAGACCCGGTTGAATGTCATATTGACAGACCCGGTCGAATGTCACATGAACATAACCAGTTCAATGTTTTAATGGGACGAATGACTTCCACTGCCATGTCATTGGATACAAATCACATGTCATACACATGGCGTGGTAATAATGACACACATTTCTTTGTCTTGGGGTTCCTTGAACGCAAACGCATTGTATTTAAGAATCCAAAGCTTTAACTAGACTTAAGTCTTATTCACCAGCATTGTATTTAAGAATCCAAAGCTTTAACTAGACTTAAGTCTTATTCACCAGCATTGGCGGTCTGGAACATGAACCCATTGTACTCACGAATTCAAAACTTAAACTAGACATAAGTCTTTATTTACCAGCAACGGCTGACTGGAAGGCAGCGTTGTAATCACAGGCGACCTCGTTGTTGACGTAGTTCGACCTGTCGTCAGTGTAGTCATCGTTCTGACCGGGCCCGCCAACCAAGGCGCCCCAGAGGATGTGGGGGCTGGGCTCCTTCAGCGGCATAACTTGAGAACCGCACTTGGCAGGTAGGTTCGGGCAGGAGCTGTGGGTAAAAGACATTGAGGGAATGAGGACCACTCGGTGTAATGCAACATTAAGCGATAGGTTCTGTTAAGTACCACGCAGATTACGTTCAATTTTTACAAAAACTCTGACAAACCTTAAGCAAATGAACATCTTTAACTTAATTAAATAGTGTACAAATTGTAGCTAATCTTTCAGCTCTTAGTTCTGCTCTACAGTACGTTTGTTTGGATGATGCCACTTGCTTCCCCTGTCACTCGTTTTGCAACAAACAATTAACAGACAACTGGCCAGTGGTCATAGCCTTTGATCTATGTGTATCTGCTACTGTGATTCACTTGCACTCGATTTGGTACTAAGCACTGACCGTCTCGGCTGGTCCCTTCTCCTATGCAGTCTTTCACTCAACTCCATTATTCTGTCCTTCGACGTTACTCTCTCTGCTCTCCGACTGCGATCTCCTCGACAGTCATCTACTGCAGTCCGGCTGAGTTCTACCCGACTGTCATCTACTGCTGACCGATTTTTTGCCCAAATATCATCTTCTGCTGTCCGATTGAGTTCTCCTTGAATGTCAGCTACTGCTGTTCGGCTGCTTTCTCCCCCCGACTGTCCTCTACTGCAGCCCGACTGAGTTCTCTCTCAACTGTCATCCTACTGCTTTCATGTCCAATTCTCATCTCTGCCCACTAATTTCCCTCTTTTATTAGTCCCCGAATCAGTCTCGGCATCTCTAGAGATTCCTTTCCATGACTATCTATCTTCTACACCCGAGCAACGCATTGGTGTCTACACTCTGATACTGTGATTAACTTCACGCTTGCCCCCAACTAAGTCTAAATGGACATTTATCATTAACTAACAACTAGCCTCTGCATTTCAATGCCTTTATTTATAGTTATACTGTCACTGTCATACTTACCCCGTAAAGTTGCAATCGGATACCCAATGACAGGTGGTCAGTTTTTGTACCTGTGCAAATTTTTTTTTTTTTTTTGCCCACTCGACAGCAATACCCAAATTATGATTCCACAAATATGTAAAACATATTGTTTTAACTTACAACCGTAACATGACATGACTTACGCGGATCTGTGGTGAGGTCTCAGTGGGTACTTGTCACCAAATCCAATGACGTAACTAAATCCAGTGTCGCCGAGAGCGTAGTGGATCTGACACATGGCCCAGCGCCTGTACTCCGCCTCGTTGAGACCCGTCTCTGCTGCCGCCAACGCCGCGAACGCCATGTTGGCTGCGGAGGGAAAGAAAAGTGAGGGTTGCTGATCGCCATCACTGTCAATGACATCACTGTGACGGACATCACTGTGACTGACATCATTAAAACTGACATCACTTTAAATGATATTACTGTGACTGAAATTAGCGAAGATTTTTTTTTCTTTCTGAGCAAATAGAAGAACATGTAAAAATACAACTAGAATGGCTTCCTTTCTTAGTGAAATTTCACTGCTGAGTTCACTAATGATTTCCCTACTCAGTTCACTACTGGGCTCACCGTTGAGTTGACCACTGAGTTCACCAAGGATTTAACCTTGGAGTCACCAATGAGCTCACCACTTAGTTCACAACTGAGTTCACTAATGAGTTTCCTACTTAGTTCACCGATGAGTTCAACACTTACTGAGTTCACCAATGAGTTTACTAGTTAGTTTACCACTGAGTTCACCTTTGAGTCACCAATGAGTTCACCTCTGCGCTCACCAATGAGTTTACTGCCGAGTTCACCCCTGAGCTCACCCCTTAGTTCACCACTGAGTTCACTACTGAGTTCAACGCGGAGTTCATTACGGAGTTCACCATCAACGTACATGAATATCTGAGTGATCCCCACTGTAGTCTGTAAGCCAGGCCTTTGGGTGTGTAGGGAATGGAACCACCAGGGAACCAATATTTATAGGAGCCTTCCACTGCTGCCTTGTACCTGTCCTTCTTGGTCAGCTTGTACAGGAGCACCTGAGGACAGAGGCAACACTCTTCAACACTGACTTCAGAAGGTTTCAACATGTCACAGAATGGAGATGAATGTAACATAATCGATTGTATATCATATAATTGAGAAGATTTCCCCATATCATAGAATTGAGATGGCTGTAACATTACTGATTACATGTCATAGAACTGGGATGAATGTAAAATTACCTATTACATTACATAGAATTGAGATGAATTTAACATTACCAATCACATTACATAGAAATTTAAATACTCGGAAGGATCGATGAGTCGAGGATTTTTCTATAATAATATGTTCTAAATAAGATAGCCTAAATAAGATGTCCTTAATAAGATGGCCTAAATAAGATGGCCTAAATAAGATGGCCTAAATAGGATGGCCTAAATAGGATGGCCTAAATAAGATGGCCTAAATAAGATAGCGTAAAAATGCCAAAACACATCCAACTTAATTGTAAAGCTGACTCCAGCTATCAAAACGGGAAACCTCGTCGTCAAGCCATGTTGACATGAGTTGCTCAGCAACGCGGAATGTTTCCTTTGTTGGAATACAGCTATCATGGTCGCGAACAATTGGCGTGCGATAAAACGAGAGCCTACCATTGTCTTTAGACAGCTACATCTTCCTTTTCATTTCTACAGGAGTTCAATTGGCCATCTATTGGTCACATATTGATCACATATTGGTCACATATTGGTCACATTCGGTCATTACTTTCAAGTGAGTTTCGTTAAAAGATTTCTTTTCTAATTAAAAAATGTCATGAATGTCCTTGAATGCATACAAATGTCTGTGGGTGTCTGTAGATATCTGTGGATGTCTGTAGATATCCGTGGATGTCTGTAAGATATCTGTGGATGTCTGTAGATATCCGTGGGTGTCTGTAGATATTTGTGGATGTATCTGGATGTCTGTGAATGTATGTGAATGCTTCCGTTCCAAAAGTACCACTACTACACATGAGTGGACAGTGGCGTACACACCTGGTTGGCGATGGTCTTGTCGTCCCAGGACATCCCCCAGGCCGGGTCGGCGTCCAGCGTCTTCTCAGCCTCATCCAGGTACTTTTGATCGTTGGTGGCCTGGTAGAGCCACAGTGATCCCCAGCATAACTCGTCCGTGAAATTGTTGGATCTGTTGAACATGACGGGAGAAACGAGTCCAGGGGGGTGTGATAACAATTGGACAGTAATTACCAAACATAACTGGCACTTTGAATCCTATGAGTTACCTATGTTAGTCAAGCACCATAGTTTATTATTTACCCTAATAGTTCGCATAACTTCAATTTCTGACAACCTCTAGGTATCTACATATTTATTGCCATGCTCAGAAACATAGTTCTTAGATGACTTAGGCTTAGATAACTCGAACTGCATTCAAGGAAATGCCTTTTTAAATTTTTTTAATCAAATATAATTTCAATGTACTTTATATTACTACGCCTTTGTCCAATTTATTGTTTTTAATAATTTTTTGTAAAAAAAATATATTTTTATAGGTGAGTCAGATTATAAATGATAAAATAAATAAAAAAATATAAAGGTTATTTCGGAGTCACAAAAATCTCGCTGAAAACGCGAATAAACTTGTCAACCATTGTTGACATGGTTGTATTAAAAACTCGGGTCACATGACTTACGAGTAAAATCCAGCGGCGGCACTGACAGAGTCACTGTACTTGCCCTTAAACTTCGTGGCGAACTCCCACAGTTGTTTGGCGTGATCCAGAAGTGTAGCCGCGTAGGTGGGATCTGAAGAGGGTAACAATAAGTTACAACAAAATAAGTTAAAACTAATAAGATAGGACAAATAAGTTAGAAAAATAAGTTAGAACAAATACGTTAGGACAAATATGTTAGGACAAATAAGTTAGAACAAATACGTTAGGACACATAAGTTAGAACAAATAAGTTCTGCATCAATCAAATCACTTGACCCCTTTTAATAAAACTTCTTTTGTGAAAATGTTGAAAAGAAAAAAAAAATGCTCACTTTTTTCCTTGAAAGCAAGGTAGCCAGTAGCGAATGCTGCTGCTGTGTCCATGGCAACATCGCTACCAGGTTTATTTTCTGTTATCTTGTAGGCTGGACGTGCCATGGTCATGAGTTCGGGCATTCCCCAGTAACCATGATCAGTACCACCATTACCAACCTGGAAGTAGTACTTCTTATATTACCATGTTTTAGTAGTTCTTATAGTCTTATATTAGCATTTCAAAAGTAATTTTATATTATTTTTTGTAAACCCATTTTTACAGTGTTGACTCTCCAATGACCAGTTTAAATGTATGGCAAAATGTCTGTCACGTGAATCCACCAATGAAATGTGTGATAAAATGTCTATCTAATTATCAACCAATGAAATGCTTGGTAAAATGTATATCAAGTGAGTCAACCAATGAAATGAAGCCTGACCTGCACGTAGAGTTCGTTGGGCTTAGTGTGACACTTGAGGAGGTAGTCCAGTGGCCATTTGATGGAGTCCAGTAAGTAATCTTCTTGTCCGGCGGCTTTGTAGGCGTCAGACCAGAGGAGGTAGCCCCAGGCCAGGATGGCAGACGAGTAGGCCATGGGGAAGTTGAATTTGACGTGATCGCCAGCTGGACGGATACACATGGATTAGTGGATACGTGTTGATAAGTGGATACATGTTGACACATGTGGATACATAATGATAGGTGGATACATGTTGATAAGTGGATACGTGATGATGAGTGGATACATGTTGAAACATGTGGAGACAAGTTTATAAGTGGATACAAGTTGATAAGATGATGCACCTTGATAAGGTAATACATGTTGATAAGTGGATGCATGTGGATACATGTGGATACAAGTTGATAAATTGATACATGTCGATAAGTGGATACATGTTGATAAGTGGTAAGTGGATGCATGTTGCTAATAATTATATTGTTGATAAGTGGATACGTTGATACATGTAAGAACCTTGTTTAAATAATAGGAAATTAAGATTTTAAATTAATTTGAATATGAATTTAGGGCTAACAAATAAATGGTTTACCTACAAGTTAGTTGTTTCTTGTTTGTGGAATATAAGGGTGTTTACCTTCCAACCAAAATCAATTTGAAATAATTTTTCTTTTATTTAAGTTACTATACTGTCTTTTCAGTAATAAACTACATACCATCCTACAATCTGCACGTAAGAACTTACCATCATACCAGCCACATGTAAGAACTTACCATCATACCAGCCACATGTAAGAACTTACCATCATACCAGCCACATGTAAGAACTTACCATCATACCAGCCACATGTAAGAACTTACCATCATACCAGCCACATGTAAGAACTTAACATCATACCATCCACATGTAAGAACTTACCATCATACCATCCACCGGTCAAGTCCTCCCCAGCATCTCCCTTGTCCCCAAGAGCTGAGTCCCCCCTCCAGGGAATACGTTTATTGGCCGGCAGTTTGCCTGACCTCTGGGCCTCGTAGAACAGAATGGACTTCTGGAGGACGTCGTTGTAGTTGTACTTGCTACCGTCCGCTAGAAAGTAAAGTTATTGAATTGTTTAAAACATGGAATCCATTGGCGATGAAAAAAAAAAAAAACTTTTTCATGTATTTTGTTTCAAGTTTCAGCTTACACTAACTGTTCTATGACTGGACGTGGAAACCACGTGTGCAGTGTAATAGTAGGGTCAAACTGGACTCACAGTTCTGAGCTGTGGGGACTGTGAAGTTGTCTTTGCCCATGTTATAGAGAACAGCCGATGCAGCAATACCACCACCGCCATACTGTGCGTCAAATCTAATTAAGAGAGAACATGGTCACGAACAATGAAGATGGAATATTGTCAAATATAATCAAGATAGAATCTGGCCAAATATAATCAAGATAGAATAGATCAAATATTCATCAAAATCGTCTTCAAAGTTCGTGTTTTCATTTAAAGCAAAGTCTTACACACCTTGATAAAGTGAAGGAGTAGGACAGTTGTGTCTTATCTAAGACAGTTATGTCATTTCTAAGACTGTTGTGTCATTTCTAAGACAGGTGTGTTATCTCCAAGACAGTTATATCAATTCCAAGACAGTATGGCATTTCTAAGACAGTTATGTCATGTCTAAGACAGGTATGTCATTTCTAAAACAGTTATGTCATTTCTAAGACAGTTATGTCATTTCAAAGACAGTATGTCATGTCTAAGACAGGTGTATCATTTCTAAGACAGTTATGTCATTTCTAAGAAAGTTATGTCATTTCTAAGACAGGTGTGTCATTTCTAAGACAGGTGTGTCATGTCTAAGACAGGTGTGTCATGTCTAAGACAGGTGTGTCATTTCTAAGACAGGTGTTTCATGTCTAAGACAGGTGTGTCATGTGTAATTTTGTTTAGAGTTTAGAATAAATTAAGTTAAAGAGGCGTTTATTATATCCAGTTACACCATATTTTACTTGATTGAGCACGCCTCCTAATAGACCAAACTTGACATGAAAGCGCCCCCAAAAGAACCCCTTTGACACTAGTGCCCCCCTTATAAACCCAACTCGACAAGAATGCACACACCTATAGACCCACCATAAGTGTTCCTCTTATAGACCCACCTTGACATATGTTCCCCCTAATCCAACTTTTATAAAAGATTGAAGTGCGTAACCGTTACAATCTCTTTATAATGTGGTGGGTTTTCTTATAATGTGGTGGGTTTTCTTATAATGTGATGGGATTTCATATAATGTGGTGGGTTTTCTTATAATGTGGTGGGTTTTCTTATAATGTGGTGGGTTTTCTTATAATGTGGTGGGTTTTCTTATAATGTGGTGGGTTTTCTTATAATGTGGTGGGTTTTCTTATAATGTGGTGGGTTTTCTTATAATTGGTGGGTTTTCTTATAATGTGGTGGGTTTTCTTATAATGTGGTGGGTTTTCTTATCATGTGGTGGGTTTTCTTATAATGTGGTGGGTTTTCTTAACATTAGTTTTGCCTCTCACTAGTCACAAGATCCCCCTTGTTCCCCAAGACCTGAGTCTCCCCTTGGCCGACAGCTTGCCTTATCAGTTTTCTATGGATTAGTTTTGCCCCTCATTAGACAAGATTTCGATCTTAGACACGTGCCCTTGACATCTAATACCTTGGTAATGTCGTCCTTCCCAACAAACAAAAAAAAACCACCAAAAAAAAAATAAATAAATCATAAAGATAAGATGAATTTAGTGTAACGTGTTATTTACATTTTTGTGTGTGTGTGTCTGTTGTTGAGTTTAAGAATCGTGTTCCCTTACTTCAATAACAACATTTAATCTGTGATGGAACTGAACAGTGATAAGGCATTTCTTACAGTTCAGTACAAAATGGGTTGAAAAGAAATGTCTGCACTGCTCTATTGAAAGAACGATTGAGGCATACAATTACCCATTATGAACAATGGTTCCTTAAGATGGCTGCCCAAGGTGGTGGCCTAAGATGGTTGCTTAAGATGGTTGCCTAAGAAGGCTGTCTTAGATACCTGCCTAAGATGGCTGCCTAAGATGGATGCCTAAGATGGCTGCCTAAGATGGATGCCTAAGATCGCTACCTTAGATGGCTGCCTAAGATGGATGCCTAAGATCGCTGCCTAAGATGGCTGCCTAAGATGGATGCCTAAGATGGCTGCCTAAGATGGATGCCTGAGATGGCTGGCTAAGATGGATGCCTAAGATCGCTGCCTACGTTGACTGCCTAAGACGGATGCCTAGGATGGCTGCCTCAGACGGATGCCTAAGATGTTTGGACCTGACAACTTACTTGAGATGAAGTTTACTTCCGGCGTGGTAGGCGACGTGTTCCGGTCTGTTGACCACGACCCAGTTGAGGCCATCAGGGGAGTGGGACAGGACATCACCCACCTCAAACTGGACATCGATTAAAAGATTAACAATTATTATGTGGGAAGTTGCACATGCTCATATATGTCTGTGTAGAAATATAAAATGAGGAAAACAAAGTAACATACGAATAGCATTGTTCTAATGGTACCCGGGTGTGAATGGCGGCTAAATGCTCTTCGGGTGTCATTTGTGGTAGTTTATTTTAGTTAAACTTAAGAAGTAAGTTTTGAAGCATATAGTCCATTCAATTACCTTTCATTTGATACCAAATTTTGTCTTACAAACCCAACACTAATATTTTAAATCTTTTTTTTTTTTTAAATCCCAACCTCTCACTTCTGGTACCCGGGTGCGAACAGCCGCTTCGTTAAAGAAATATGACGACGCTAATTTCTCGAGGAAAAAAAATCCAAGTCAAGTAACTTCGCTAAATGACGTTCTTTTTATAAAAATGTATCGCAAGTGCGGTAGAAGCATAAATTTCTTCTTTTTTTCTGAAATAGTTTGTAAAATAAATCTGTGGTTTAAAAGTGGTTGGGTCATTAGAGGAGTATTATAAAATAAAATAATTTTCAAAATGCATACAAAAGATTCATGTGGACACATTTGTTTTTATGGGTTGGTTAATTTTGCAAACGGCGTCACTTGCTACTTCTTGGTAGGAAATTCAGACATTTAAAGTCAGGCATTTTAATGCAAACATTCAAAAAGTCAGGCATTCAAAGTCAGGCATGTAAAGTAAATTATTCAAAGTCAGGCATTCAAAGTCAAACATTCAAAGTCAGACATTCAAATTCAGACATACAAAGTCAGACATTCAAAGTCAGGCATTCAAAGTCAGGCATTCAAAGTCAGACTTTCAAAGTCAGGCATTCAAAGTCAGACTTTCAAAGTCAGACATTCAAAGTCAGGCATTCAAAGTCAAGCATGTAAAGTAATACATTCAAAGTCAGGCATTCAAAGTCAGACATTCAAAGTCAGACATTCAAAGTCAGGCATTCAAAGTCAGACTTTCAAAGTCAGACATTCAAAGTCAGGCATTCAAAGTCAGACTTTCAAAGTCAGACATTCAAAGTTAGACATTCAAAGTCAGGCTTGGTAAAACTTGTCTGACATCTCATGCCTCTATGACATCTCATGCCTCTATGACATCTCATGCCTCTATGACATCTCATGCCTCTATGACATATCATGCCTCTATGACATCTCATGCCTCTATGACATCTCATGCCTCTATTCCATCGATCTCATTGTTATACCCCACAAATTTCAGCTACTTTCATTGTAGTAAATAGTTAAACTTTAAAGTTAATTGTTTGTTTGTGTTTACTAGGAGTGATCATGTGAAATAGTATGTCCTGAAACACTTAAATTCATCTGTTTATCGTGGAACACTTACATTCATCTGTTTATCGTGAAACACATTCATCCGTTTATAGTGAAACACTTACATTCATCATCTGTTTGACCGGTTTGTTGAAGGTCACGTTGATGACCCAACCAAAGAAATCTTCTGGGATGTTGAAGTCGAAGTAGCCCTGGAAGTTGTCCGGATTGTTGATGTTGACCGTAAGGTCGGCGCCAATTCCACTTCCCAATGGAATGGGAACTGCAACAACAACATGGACATTTCAAACCAATGAATCGCACGGCTCTACTGCACACAGACACAGTTCTGATATGTTGACAAACTTAACATGGAGATGTCTTTAAGGTCCAAATATGATGTGAAATACGTCATCATGGCTTGATGTTATTCAATTCATTTTACAAACATTATGACATGTGACCCGTCAGAGTGACGGAAATGAATATATTTTATCATTTAGAAATGCAGAATGTCAATAGACAACTATGACTCTCAAAACTGATGGGAACCAGTTGAGATCTAAGGATTCTATGAAGCACCTACCTGGTTTGAAGGTAGTTGGTGTTGCAGTCGTGTGGGCAACCCCATGGGAGGTAGTCTGACCAGGGGCAGCTAAGATATAACAGGAGAGATTTGAAGTTTGTTCAGCACAACAGCTCAGATACATTAAAATATGCACATTTGCTAGAAATGTTAAATTGAAGAATTTTATTTGAACTTAAAAAAATCCTACAAAAATGTATGATTTATAAGGTAAATGTTCATGTCTTCATGTTGAAACTTGTTTGAAGTCCGTTTAAGGAGGTTCTCTCTAATGACTTGTTAAAAATATATTTTTTTTCTCAAAAACATTTTACGTTGTATTTATTTATGAGTTAAGATCGCTTAAGAAAATAAATGTTGTTCAACACAGGAGACTCACTCTCGGCTCGTTCTCTGGTTTTATTCATTACGTACACACTGAGTTTGAAGTTGATTTCACAATGATTTGAGTAAAGATATCAGGTGGGGGAAACGGATGATTTGATAAGACAATGCATTGCATCACGCGGTCCCAAGAAACCGTTATGACATATGACTCATTGTGTATATTTTGTTTAAATTAAGTCAATTCCCCAATCACCTTAGACGTAATCATTTATACTGTTTTCACATGATGTTTGGCAGGTCATATCAACCCCCCCCCCCCCCCCCCCTCGTCCCTTTTTTTTTTTGCAGGTCATATCCACCCCCCCCCCCCCCACTTTTCTCATTTTTTTATGGTGGCTTTGATGTTCCTAACCCGGGAATGAGATTGTGAATAACACTGGTCATGTGATCTTACACAGGTCAACTTATCAACCGGAGCGAATCCTTGCAGAAGAGAACTGGGGGTATTCCCAAGGGCAAGCTACTCTGTTCCACGAAAATCTAAACGCGCCCATTATTATAACTTGACCTGACACTTTCTATCAACTCCCAACCCCGGTATCAAATCCAAACTATATTGGAACCACCAAATTATGGTTTCAGCTCCAAAATATAGTATCAACTCAAAACTATGGTGTCCACTCCCAACTATGGTGTCCCCTCCCAACTATGGTGTCCACAACCAACTATGGTGTCCACTCCCAACTATGGTGTCCACAACCAACTATGGTGTCCACTCCCAACTATGGTGTCCACTCAAAACTATGGTGTCCACTCCCAACTATGGTGTCTCGAATAAGAAAAATAATATTTATCTTGAAAAAAAGAGAGGGGGGGTCTGCGATCTGTTAACGCAAGTCTACTAAGCACACATCCACACACACTCACCCAAATCCACACCCAAACACACTCACACGAACCCACACACTCACCCACACACATCAGTGTAAACTCCTAAAAGTGTGGGTGTGTGATGTCGATGTGTGATGTCGATTTGTGATGTCGATGTGTGATGTCGATGTGTGATGTCGATGTGTGATGTCGATGTGTGATGTCGATGTGTGATGTCGATGTGTGGTCACATCATTTAATGGATTTAATTATGTCGCATGTTATGGAACCCACTCTCAGCTCTACTTACATGTTCCTCCTCCGATGGTGGCGCCGCCACTGGTCAAAGTGGCCGTTACTACAGGGGAAATATCTCCATTGGCTGAAGATATAAACAACATTCGATAGGATTAATCTTTTCAAGACGACCACAGACTTTCGCCTGTCCTACATTATTTGAATGCCAACTAATTAATCCTCCTGACAGAAGTAAGTATGTTATCACGACAAAATTGTATTTTAACCAAACGATATAGAGTTAAACGGGAAATGCAACAACCAGTTGATTATTTCATGTGACCATCTAGGATATCACTGAAAGCGATAAAACAGTGAATGCTTCCAATGAATTAGGCAAAGATACATTGGGCAAAGATACATTGGGCAAAGATAAATTGGTCAAAGATACATTGTTCAAAGATACATTGGTCAAAGATACATTGGTCAAAGATACATTGGTCAAAGATACATTGGTCAAAGATACCTGGTACGTTCATCATTCAAAAGTACTGTACAACCCTGTGTGCCTCTACACTAAGTTTTAGCTATTTTAGAGCGAAGATTTCAGTTTGGCACTCACCATGACCTTGGAACTGAAGACAAAGTCTGTCCCCAACATGTTCGTCTTTATTCCAGTCTTTATTGGTCAGTACGTAGACTTTGCCGCCATCTTTGGTCTCAGAGATGTCTGCGGTGAATGCCTGTGGAGGTAGAGCAATCAAAAGAGCCATCAAAAGAGCCATCAAAAGAGCAACCAAAAGAGCCATCAAAAGAGCCATCAAAAGAGCCATCAAAAGAGCCATCAAAAGAGCCATCAAAAGAGCCATCAAAAGAGCCATCAAAAGAGCCATCAAAAGAGCCATCAAAAGAGCCATCAAAAGATCAAAAGAGCAACCAAAAGAGCCAACAAAAGAGCCATCAAAAGAGCAATCAAAAGAGCCACCAAAAGAGCCATCAAAAGAGCAATCAAAAGAGCCATCAAAAGAGCCATCAAAAGAGCCATCAAAAGAGCCATCAAAAGAGCCATCAAAAGAGCCATCACAAGGGCTTTATTTGAGTGGTGGAGATAAGGCAATCTTAAGGGCATTAGTTAGGTGGTAGAGATAGAACACTAAAGTATTATACTCAATGCTATAATTATATGATGGGCATAGATCAGTACGGTGCTCAGTGCTATAGCTAGATGATGTTAATAGAACAATATGGTGCTCAGTGCTATAGCTAGATGATGTTAATAGAACAATATGGTGCTCAGTGCTATAGCTAGATGATGTTGATAGAAAAGTACGGTACTCAGTGCTATAGCTTGATGAAGTTGATGGAACAGAACGGTACTCAGTGCTTTAGATAGATGATGTTGATGGAACAGTGTTGAGTATGGCTCTTCACTAATAATTGTTGGTAGAGTTAGGTGGTAGAGATAGAACAGTAAAGTATTATACTCAATGCTATAATTATATGATGTTAATAGAACAATATAGTGCTCAGTGCTGTAACTAGATGATGTTGATAGAACTATATGGTGCTCAGTGTTATAACTAGATGATGTTGATAGAACAATATGGTGCTCATTGCTATAGCTAGATGATGTTGATTGAAAAGTACGGTACTCAGTGCTATAACTTGATGAAGTTGATGGAACAGTACGGTACTCAGTGCTTTAGATAGATGATGTTGATTGAACAGTGTTGAGTATGGCTGTTCACTAATAATTGTTGCACACTGGATACTGTGTTCATTGTGTGTAGTGTGTTTCAAGAGATTTATTAGTTAATGAACACCTCCCCCCCTCCCCCCATTTTACTTGGTGACGTAGCTTTATGACGTAATGATGACGTATTGTCTAGTCTGTTTTGTGGCGTAAGTGTTTATTCCCCAGCAGTCGTAGAAAGAACTTTGTCGGAGAAAGCTGTGTATTATTCTCTCTGATGGCGAACTGTGCTATGCATGCGTTTGTGAAATGTATTGTCTGTTGGATATATTTATAGATTAAAGTTGCATTAATTCTGGAAAAGGACGTGTGTTTAATTTGCTGTATAATGACGTCTGAACGTGTTGAGAGTCTGATGCATTAAACCATTGAAATATACTGCAGTTTGACAAAGAGCATGGCACAAGGTGCTGTAGCTAGATGACCGAGACGGATGGAAGCATACAGTAGTGTCATGAGACGAGAATAGACACCAGTCTCTAGTACGACATTGATGCTCTGATATGTAGTCTAACTTTCATAACATAGGATGCAGACTAACTTACATCAAGGCTAGTTATGTATTTGTCAAATTTAACTTACATCCAGGCTAGTTTTGTGTTGGTCAAATGTAACTTACATCAAGGCTAGTTATGTGTTGGTCAAATTTAACTTACCTCAAGGCTAGTTATGTGTTGGTCAAATTTAACTTACATCAAGGCTAGTTATGTGTTGGTCAAATTTAACTTACATCAAGGCTAGTTATGGCTTGGTCAAATGGAACTTACATCAAGGCTAGTTATGTATTGGTCAAATTTAACTTACATCAAGGCTAGTTATGGCTTGGTCAAATGGAACTTACATCAAGGCTAGTTATGTATTGGTCAAATTTAACTTACATCCAGGCTAGTTATGGCTTGGTCAAATGTAAGTGTAACCGCCCAGGAGTGTAACTCCTCTGTAATGTCGAAACACGCCTCTCCATTAAAGCCACCTGACCAGTGGTTCTGGATGGGAACAGTGATGGCTGAACACGTGACCCATGACGCCACCAGCCAGCTCGCTATCTGCCACAGTCTGTTGAAAAATATGGATCATAACATCATGATGCCATGCTACTTTATCAAGTAATTAATAACATCATGATGTCTTGCTACTTAAGCAAGTAATTAATAACATCATGATGTCATGCTACTTTATCAAGTAATTAATAACATCATGATGTCATGCTACTTTATCAAGTAATTAATAACATCATGATGTCATGCTACTTTATCAAGTAATTAATAACATCATGATCTCATGCTGCTTTATCAAATAATTAATAACATCATAATGTCTAGCTACTTATTCAAGTAATTAATAACATCATGATGTCTAGCTACTTATTCAAGTACTTAATAACATCCATAATGTCTAGGTACTTTCGGGTAATTGAAAACATCAGATGTCTGGCTACTTTTTTAAAGTAATTAATAACATCATGATGTCTAGCTCCTTTTTCAAGTAATTAATACGAATCCCATTGACCAATCTTTTAAGTCTATAATTTAGTTAACAAATATAATTCACTAAAAAAATACAAAACAAACAAAATAATACTACCAGAAATGTTTACAAGGGCGAGAATGATACACTTGAATTGGAAAAGGTTAGCAACAGATGAATGAGAAGTTTAACTTATTTACTCGAGGGAACACGCAAAATTGTTAACAGATTGAATTATTGGCAAAATATTTAAAGTTTCTTCATATCTTAATCGTCCTTTAAATATCATTTCAATTAGCACAATGTCAACGAGTTTTGGCTTCGAATAAAAACAACACGGATGATCGTTACTAGAGGAGAAAACAACAGTAAAATGTACTATTAACGCCCTAGGGGCACCCGCAAACGGGCTCCCCCCCCCCGACCACATTAAATGTTTACCTCATATTTAAAGCTCTGTCCAAAGACATATACAGTGTTACAATTCACTGACAAGCCTTTTATACCAAATGGACAGGGCTTATCTCTAACGACAATTCAAGCTCTGTAACCCACGGACGGGGGCTGGGGGGTGCAGAAAGTGGCACAACAAAGCCACGGGCTTACTGGGCACAACAGCTAACGTGTGGGAGTAAGAGGAAATAAAAACTGTTTATATTACACAAGAAATGCTGCTTACATTTTATTACATGATGCAACTATCTTTTATGAAACAATCTGTTCATTAACAATTTGTTATGTAACAATCTGTGATGTAATTCGGTTATGTGACAATCTGTTATGAAATAAGCTGTGATGTAACAAAGCGTTCACTAAATGTAAATATGTCGTAACATAGGAGCCTAAGTAATATCCTAGTAGGGCGGTTGCAAGGAAAAGTTTAACCTTCGGCTAATACTGTATTTAGGCGCCCCTTCCTTCCAAAAATGTATAAATCGCACCTGGTGTGCATTGAAAAAGACGTTTTGGTGCTCTCTGAAGACGCTCTCTTTACCAACCCCTACGGCCATGTCTGCTAGCAATCCTAGGATGGTCGCGTGTACCACTTCCTGGCCCTACCATTTTCTGGCCCTACCACTTCCTGGCCCTACCACTTCCTGGCCCTACCACTTCCTGGCCCTACCACTTCCTGGCCCTACCACTTCCTGGCCCTACCACTTCCTGGCCCTACCACTTCCTGGCCCTACCACTTTCTACCACTCCCTGGCCCTACCACTGCCTGGCCCTACCACTTCCTGGCCCTACCACTTCCTGGCCCTACCACTTCCTGGCCCTACCACTTCCTGGCCCTACCACTTCCTGGCTCCCAACCAACCATCTCCAAATCTATAAATACTGTAATACAATCACAAAAAGGATCATTCACTGCTTCAATATAGTTTTTAATGGAAGCTGTTTAGATTCACCCCGCGAAGAGCAAGCAGTTTCTCAGATGAATTCTAACCTTCAGTAGAGCCCCTGTGTCAAGATATGGAGGTTAAAGACCGAACATGATTTATAGTGCCTTTTTATAAAAGTGAGGACAACCCATCCCTTCTTCACCCCCCCTCCCAACATTTCACATAGGAAGTGAGAGAGAGTGAGGGGGGTATATGGGAAAGGAGAAAGAAAGAGGGAGATGGGAGTAAAGCAGATAGAGGGAAGGAGAGAGGGAAGGGTTTTGGGAAAAAGAAAGAAAAAGAGGGAGGGAGAGCGATATAGCGAAAAAGAGAAAAAGAGAGAGAGGGGTGGGCATACGGCTATGCAGAGAGAAAGAGATAGAGGGGATATAAAGAGAAAAAGAGAGAGAGATGGTAATGTGACCCATTTTAAAGAGAGGGTTGGAGAGAGCGGGGGAATATAAAGAGAGAGTGACAGGGAGAGAGACAGACAGATAAACATACAAAATGACATTTTTACCACAAAGAAATAGAGAGAAACTCTTCTCGGGTTTTGGACTAAGTTTTAAACCAGTTGAAGGAAATGTACCGGGACTGTTTTCTGGCGACTGGTCCTCAGAACACGATCCCCACCCACGGCTGTGATTCCCACCCACGCGAACATCGTGGTGTCACTATTAGCCGCAGGACATAATCTTAACGCCAATCGTTTCCAAATTTTCTTCTTTTTTTTTCATTGCAATATACAAGAGGCAACATTTACTTTGGCCTACAATTAAAAAGTCCCAATATACATTTAAAGTTTTAAAAACGTAATCAAACGCCCACAACTCCTAGGGACCTTGGAGGACATGTTATGAAGAGAAACCACCACGGATTGACGCCCCCTTGTGTCTTCCGATTATCTTCTCCTGACTTCGTTTCTGCACTCTCCCAGGCAGTTGTCCTACTTAGTCTTATCTCTGAGAAATGTGGCTGTGGTTATTAAAATTAGTGGTCAGTTTCTTTCCTGGTTTCATTTGGTCAAGTCTTGTTGACACTTGGTGGATGGACAACGTGGGACAGATTTAAGACCCTCAAACCCAGAAGCCTTTTTGAAATAGTTTTTAATGGGGGGAATTATTTTACCTAAAAAAATTGATTGAATAGTCTTAAAGAATTAGCCTCTGTCTCAAAATCTTCACAGAAAAAAAAATTTTTGAAGACATATCCGTAATTTTCTTTATTGATCCATAAAATTTGTGCAGATTTGGAATATTTTCCTGTAAAATTTATTTTTTTTTTTAATTTCGCAACCCTGTTACCAGTGTGTCAGGAGATGTACAAAAGAGTCTCATAAAGATTTGTGCTGGAAGCCGAGTCCTTACTGAGCGTCAGCGTTATTGAGATCACACTGAAAAGATAAGCAAATCACGGGATGCCCAGATACGTTAGGTAAGCATCATTTTGAGAATCCCCGTGTCAGAAACTATGTCCTTCGTTAGCTCTCTTCATTATCTGTAGGCTGGCGATATATTCTCCGAGGGAGCAGAAAGACATACCTTGAAACTAATCTCAATTCCCAACCGTTTAACGCAGCTCACGTGTCTTCTCGTCTTGTCATTTCACTGGTCTACGCCCGATTATGGCCATCTTTCTCACCGAACGTTTCGAATTATAAGATACCTTTAGATTCGATTGATACTTTTGCCAGGTGCTAATGTGTTTCGTATCAACACCTTGTAATTATACTTTCAGGTGCAAATGTGTTTCGTATCAACACCTTTCATTTTTACTTTCAGGTGTTAATGTGTTTCGTATCAACACCTTGTAATTATACTTTCAGGTGCTAATGTGTTTCGTATCAACACCTTTTATTTCTACTTTCAGGTGCTAATGTGCTTCCTGTTATTGATACCCATACAAAAGCAGCCGTACAAGTCTATGATGAATTGGACCCAAAATGGGCGTCACACAAATACGTGCCGCCCGTGATTATTCGCCCTTCTCCGCCCCATCTGTATACGCCACTGTATCCTACACTTCATACACCAGTGTATCTTTCACTTCATACACCAGCGTATATTTCACTTCATACACCAGTGTATCTTTCACTTCATACACCAGTCTATCTTTCACTTCATACACCAGTCTATCTTTCACTTCATCCACCAGTCTATCTTTCACTTCATCCACCAGTCTATCTTTCACTTCATCCACCAGTCTATCTTTCACTTCATCCACCAGTCTATCTTTCACTTCATCCACCAGTCTATCTTTCACTTCATACACCAGTCTATCTTTCACTTCATCCACCAGTCTATCTTTCACTTCATCCACCAGTCTATCTTTCACTTACTGTGTTACTGCTGACATATAAAGATTATTTGAACCCATGAACCGCATAATAAAAAAAACATTTCATTTATTACAAGCATTATTGACGACTTTTTCAACCGTATTTACTCCTTTATGTTTGTAGTAAAATGTTTATGATGTTCAGTTAGGTTCACCATATCACTCAACACAACACGCAATTCAACAGAAACAGTTCCACAGAGAAAAGACAAAAAGTTATTTCAAAGCTATCTGTTTATCTTCCAATAGCGACAAAAACCAAGGTTGTTCTTTTTTATTTTCCAATGATGCCGTCTGTTGTTGCTATGAGGCCAGGTGTGTAGGGGCAGCTGTGGGTTCCCGTCTGCTCAGGATGTTGACCGTTCAAAATGAGGGATTGGAGACCTGGCGATGTGCAAAACAAGGTCAAGGTTTTCTGTAGTTTACTGTAGTTTACTGTAGTTTACTGTAGTTTACCGTAGTTTACTGTAGTTTACCGTAGTTTACTGTAGTTTACCGTAGTTTACCGTAGTTTACTGTAGTTTACTGTAGTTTACCGTAGTTTACTGTAGTTTACTGTAGTTTACTGTAGTTTACCGTAGTTTACTGTAGTTTACCGTAGTTTACTGTAGTTTATTGTAGTTTACTGTAGTTTATCGTAGTTTACTGTAGTTTACTGTAGTTTACTGTAGTTTACCGTAGTTTACTGTAGTTTACTGTAGTTTACCGTACTTTACCGTAGTTTACTGTAGTTTACTGTAGTTTACTGTAGTTTACCGTAGTTTACTGTAGTTTACCGTAGTTTACTGTAGTTTATTGTAGTTTACTGTAGGTTACCGTAGTTTACTGTAGTTTACTGTAGTTTACTGTAGTTTACTGTAGTTTACCGTAGTTTACCGTAGTTTACTGTAGTTTACTGTAGTTTACAGTAGTTTACTGTAGTTTACTGTAGTTTACCGTAGTTTACTGTAGTTTACTGTACTTTACTGTAGTTTACCGTAGTTTACCGTAGTTTACTGTAGTTTACTGTAGTTTACCGTAGTTTACGTAGTTTACAGTAGTTTACTGTAGTTTACCGTAGTCTTACAATAATATTTACAGAAACCTTTTAATTATAATGGAATATATTGAATGGGTTAATTAAATTTAAATACTAAAAAATATTAAAATATTCTGTTTGATAAAAACTAATGTTACACGATTTAAGTGGCCATCAATATCACCATTAGCCTAGACACCACCAATATCACCATTAGCCTAGACACCACCAAATATCACCATTAGCCTAGACACCACCAAATATCACCATTAGCTTAGACACCACCAAATATCACCATTAGCTTAGACACCACCAAATATCACCATTAGCTTAGACACCACCGAATATCACCATTAGCTTAGACACCACCAAATATCACCATTAGCTTAGACTCCACCAAATATCACCATTAGCTTAGACACCACCAAATATCACCATTAGCCTAGACACCACCAAATATCACCATTAGCCTGCACACCACCAAATATCACCATTAGCCTGGACACCACCAAATATCACCATTAGCCTAGACACCACAAAATATCACCATCAGCCTGGACACCACAAATTATCACCATTAGCTCGGACACCACCAAATATCACCATTAGCTTCGACACCACCAAATAACACTAGTAGCCTAGACACCACCAAATATCACCATTAGCCTAGACACCACCACATATCACCTATAGCTTGGACACCACCAAATATCACCATTAGCTTGGACACCACCAAATATCAACATTAGTTTAGACACCAACAAATATTACCATTAGCTTAGACACCATCAAATATCACCATTAGCTTGGACACCACCAAATATCACCATTAGCTTGGACACCACCAAATATCACAATTTGCCTAGAAACCACCAAATATCACCATAGCCTAGA